ACAAAGAATTCACTTTGCCAAAAAATTTAGATAAAATTTTCGATACATCAATGAAGTTAGCATGGTCAATAAATTTACGAAATACAAATGCAAAAGTAAACTGATTATTTATGAGAAATTGAGCCACCAGGGCCAGCTTTATTAATATCGATATAAAAAAGTACACAAAACATTTTCATTAAAGAGATATGTAGACATCGTACGTATAACCAAACTGCATGCAAAGTTTGTATATCATACTGATTGCTTTATTACAAAATAATACGTAATGCAGAAATACAGTTGTCAAAAATAAGTTATTATTATAAATGATGACACCTATTCTAGATCCTATCTAGAGCGATAATCCTCTATCCGTGCTTTCTTTTTCGCACCAGACTTATCTACACACGCCCTATCTTTCAACATACCCACAACCACTCCCAATACCCTTCTTACACTCTTGCGCAATATTTGATATTCCTCGGATTCCTCATTCAAAGCATCTTCAGTAAATTCAATGGTATATGGTAATTTACTACCTTGCGAGATCTCGCCCGGGCTATATAACAAAAAAAACCAATCTCTTCCAGTTGTTACTACTCCATATAGATAGTCGAAGTCATCATAATCCCCGAAAGTATCACTCGCTTTTCGGTTTTTCTTGTTCGTTTCGTATGAACTCTCAAGCTGGCGGATGTTTTGGGCCATACCCATGGGTACCTGGTGCTGTTTATCCTCTGTAATACAAATTAAGTCCTCAGCATCCTGTAATGAAAAATACAGTCATCAGATTCTCTTAGAAAATCGAAGTATAATAAAGAACAAAACTTACTTTAATCGCGTAATCCACTCGCCCAGTACTTTCGTTTCCAACAATTTCATACTGAGGCCTCATACTAAATTTTTTTTGCGTTTCGTCTCTAGCAATATTGAGAGCAGTATGGAGAATTGCCACGACATATTCATTACGCATGGCTTCTAAACTATCCACAGCCAATGACCCATAATTTTTTAGCCTGACCATAATTTCTGCCATACAATGTGCAAAATGCTTATCAGAATCTTGAATCTCACAGGTTACTTTAGCTGGGGAGAGATAATATTAGACTATTCCCGCAAATAATAGTGTATACAGGTTTCGACAACAGACTTACCTATTTTGAACAGTGGAATTGATTCGGTACCATCACTATCTAGTCCAAATTTTCTCAACACTTCTTTAAGACTTTTGTATGATGAATACGCTCTTAACTTTCGTTTATTAAGGTCCTTAGCGAAGTCAGAAAGCCTTGACGCAGGTCCACCTGGCATTCCATAACTGCGAAGCTTTTCTTCGCTTGTCTTGAGAAAGTCACGGCCATCAATCTCCTCTTGTTCTAAAATTTTAATAGCTTTTTCGCTAAGGTTTAAGTCTTCCTCCTTTCGTAAGAACTCAATGAGCTCTTTTGTTTTCCATCTTTTGACCACATGAGCCAGTGTGGGAGAGTCCTCCGTCGCCGTAGTAGAGGTAGAAGTGGGAGAAGATATCTCGGACATAATATTTATAGAATAAAAATAGTGTTACACTCCGGAGCAAAAAGAATTTTAGTGTTAGTATAGTGGAAAGTGTATTTATATATGAAAATTTTTAATGTTGTACAGACCTGTCATATGTTCCCACGTACAGCATTATAAATTTCCAATGAGTCAAGTTTTTATACGTACGTATTGTTTAGAACAAGCTTGGCCCAAATTTTTTATAAGATTACATTGCATTTTGATATATCTTTCATATTAGCGTTTGGATCTATTTATTTCACTAACTTACCTTAGCGACTCTGTCCATATATGTAACACAATTACTATATTAATTTTTTTTATTTTTTTCCTGGTCGAACCTCACGTGAGCAAAGCTATCGAAATTATCTATATATACTTGTTTGTCATCGAATACGTGTTAGCCACGTTTCAGAAAAAATGGGATTTTGTACTTGCGCCCTATCTCACAAATGAGTTATATGTACGTATAACTATAAGCCATTCAGATAATAATAAATTAACACATATTAACTGTAATGAATATCTTTGTTACGTAGACGAATTATCCTTATAACTTCTGAACTTTATTACCGAATTACTAATTCGGATTAATTATTCGAGAATTATCGTTACGTATTACATTCACATTGCTCATATATTCCATTCGCTACTTTTTTGCATGTTTTGCAATATAGGTGTGAATGGTGATTGCATTCGTCACAAACCTTACACCCGTGCTTCCACCCTCT